CGTACTCACCCACTGAGTGACGCCGCTCGAGGCTTCGCAGCCTCCCTCGCCAACAGGTGGGAAGGTCCGTTTCGCGTGCGTGAAAACGTTGGGCGCCATTGTGGTCGGTTTGCCTTGCTGCATACCCGACCCGGAGGAACAACACGGAGCCAACGGTTTCAACAACAAGAAACTACATTTAATGGGACATGGACGAGACGATTAACATGGTTACCAGCGGCGCCTGAGTCCAGGCAGCGACTCTCCGTGCGCCGCCTCTGATCTGCCTTATCAAGGCGGCGCATCCGATGTGCGCGTGGCTGGCGTGACGTCGCCGCCACGCGGGAAAAGTTCGGCTTGAGCCCCGCAGTCGGGCAACTTGGCTTGGGAGCCGCCAGGGTGCCCACACTCTCTAACTGGAACTAATTATTAATATTGCATGCGAAACTATTTAAAAACTTAATTATCCTAAGCACTACTGCCTCATGAAATGGTTCCCTTTACTATGACCAATGAGGTTCCAACCCTTTTTTTGTGAGATGCAGAGTTTTTACATTAAATGACTGTCAAAACAATGCACGTGCCCCGAACATTTATGAACAGATTAAGTGGCTTTCGACCATGGCCAGCAAGTTTCTAATTGAAAGAATATAGTTCCGTTTGCTAATTAGAGGCTAATTAAAACTATCTGTTAATTAGCCACCTACTTGCACAAGCAACCTTGTTTGTAGCGCCCGCCAAGCCGAGTAAGCTAATCGAAAAAAGAGGCTACCCAATGAAACTTCTTGTTTCGAAAATTTGGTGCAGCTAAAAGCGAACACCCAGTGTAGGGTGGCCTAAATAGTGGTCGGCTGTAAATTGGTCCCTAAAAATAGCTTCTGCACACAGGTAGATAGAATTTTAACCAAACATGTATTCTAATGGCACAAGTTGTAAACTTGCAAAGTATAGCTCCATTTCTGTGAGAAACAACAGCACTATTCCTCTAAATCTCTATGGGGTCAAAGACACAGACAAGCAAGTCGCATCGACTCTGTTAGAGCCAGTTGATCGCTCGATTCGACCCGCTCCCGTTGGAAAACGAGTCCTCCATTCTGTGTGAAATGCGAGTACTCATTTCGCATCGGGCTCCAACCGGTCACTGCGACTTGGTCGCCTGCATCAGTACCCACCATAGAGGCTACAAGGATTCTTATCCTTATTTCTTGCAGAAATGGATCTACGCTTTGGAAGTTCACAAGGTAATGTGCACCACTAGAGTACACCTGTGGTGAACATTTTTAGCTAGCTACACCCAGAAGCCAATTTTTTCCGGTGCAATTGACATCCACCGCGCTATTTATGCCATGCCCATATACCATTAAATACATAATTCCTTCTCTTTGCATTACTTGGGTTTTAAGATGACATTTCCGAAACATAAATTTTTATTTAAATCGCACTTTAAATTTAAATTTAAAGTGCTTGGAGCAAGCGGCCATGTTTTTTTTTTGTAAATGCCTTTAGTGCGTAAAACGCGAACCCATTCCCGATGTATATCGCTCGGCACACCGCTGCGCGAGCAGTTCTCTCATACTTCCGTGAAAGAATATACTTTTGGTAGAACGTACGCAAGTGCTTTGCACAACTAGCGGGAGCATTTGCCTTCACATTAAGCACAAAATGAGCTGGCGACCGCAGCATTCAAAATCCGAAGCGTATGCGATCTACACGAAAACTGTCCCCAATAAAATGAGACATCCCGGTTCGTTCCTGCAACGATGTTACCAAGCAGAACACAATCCCGTTAAAACTCTATGACGCACGAACGCCCTGACCAGAAGCATATGGTATGCAGCATCACCACGGCCGACAGCACTTGCCATTGTCTCTACCGCCGCCCCGCTCCTCTGATTTTTCGCTCGTCCGCGAGAGGGCGAGCGGCGGGCTATAGAGTTACGTATAGGAGGCTACTCGTCACGAGAAGTCAGATAATAAGTAAAATCTGTTCGTCAGCTTTTTTAATCAGTTGAAATAACCTAATAATACTATTAGAAACTTATTGACCATTATGGAAAATCACAGTCAATTTTAGCTATATATTTGAAGCGCGTAAGAAGGGCTCTCGTGCGATAAAGTAAGGGCCCTTTCACACACTTCTGACCGCAATTACGACCGGGGAGGCCAAAATACGGTTAGCCTTTCGTGACTGACCGACTCTGCAGCAGCGCAGCTGGTTGTAAGCCGTAACGATAGGCTTAAGAATCGTTCGTATCGAAGTCGGTCTTCGCGCCGCCAGCCTTCATCTTGCTGCATTAATGATAACTTCAGTGCACCACTGCGCTTTCCACGCACTCCGAATGTTTCTAAAAATGTCTGATTTCGTGGTTTTTTATGACTGTCACCAACATCACAACTGGAATCATGTATTTCACTATATAAAATGTTAACTAACAGACTTTAGTTAACTAGGCGACTTATGGTGAGTATTAGTCCCCTATATTCCCATTGGCCATATAACTCACCTGTTCAAACATTCTCAGTGTAGCTTTCCGTTGTTTTTTTAACAAATGTGTAAAGCCTAAAAAAGAAACGCTATTTTTTTCTTGTGTGATCGTGCAGTGAAGATAGTAGGTTAGAGCTAAGTTAGCAGTGGCAGGAGATGGATACTTAGGAATAACCTTAATGAATTTGACTCCACTGTTTTAAGAAGGCATATATCTATCGCTCTCAAGCCAATTTTTGTTATCATAAAGTGATATGTATGAAATGACTTTTCATTATCAAAAGTCAATAATGCTTTGTTTCTATCTAAATTACGAATTTGGGTTTCATTGCAACCTTTTGTTCGATGTGTGACTTCTGCACGCTGTTAATCATTTTTTGTTTCATATTATTGCAGTATATATTGGCATGTTTCTCCTGTTTGGCATGCTTATTTTGCTGTTATTCATTTTCTTATATTATTGCAGTATATGTTTCTCCTGGTTTCAGGTTTATTTGATGTTGCTGTTCTACTGTACGTTTGCTTTTGCAAATTTCTTTCGTCCCCCCTACTGTAATGCCCATCGGGCGATGTAGGTACCAAATAAATAAAAAAAAATTTAGTACTTCCATGAAGCATAAATTCGAAAGCTCAGTATATAATTCCATTCTAACCTTATCTCTATGAAATAAACTATTTGGTTCCCATTTGGCTCTACACCTAAAATAACCAATCACAGCAGTTAATATTGTCCTTCATCACTCAGCCCCTTCTTGTCGTGACTGGTGCTTCTGCGTGCTTTTAAGCAGCTAGTCCTGTGTTTGAAGGAATCGAACTTGCCGTGCAGTTGATGCTAATAAAAGGTTGCACAAAAGTGGCTAGGCGAAGGAAACAATTTATATATCCACGTGCAGGGCCGAGCAAGCAGCGCTCAGTCACGGAATCCTAAAAGATTCGCGTTTATTTTTATTCGGAAGTAACTTTTATGATTTTGTCCTACTATTTTTATTCTGGAAAGTGCCTGTTCATTCCCACCCCAAACGCTCGATGCTCGAACCTTCTGGGCCGAATCTTCGCGATGCCGACGCACACTAGATAAGGAGCTGCCCGTGACCTTGTCGAGTTAGCCTCGCTCTAGCTTGCTGTTAAGCCGCCAGATCGCCACCCGCTTTGATTTGTGAAGTGTGTATGTTGAGAAGGCCGTTTTACGTGGGGTGAAATTTTTTACGCACAGTATTGAATTTGAGGGTGAAATTTAAAACACGCTCGTCACTATGTCGTAAATAGTGGTGTCTGTAGACGGCTCAAAATCGCTATACGTATCCCGACTGCTTTTCCAACAGGATTTTATACGGAAATGTGCAGTTTTATTTTCTTCCATCGCGTAAACTTGAAATTCTCAATCGTTTATGGATTTGGTCCAGATGTTTTATTGTTCTATCAATATGGTATTATTTACAGGACGCACACGAGAAAAGGGAGGCACGCTCAATTTGGTGTGTATTGCGAGACCCACACAGTAGGGAAATTATGAAATGACCCAGAACAAAATAACCTTCTCGGGGCGACCACATGGGGGCTGCCCTCAGATATGCGAGGGCAGCCCTCCCCCTATTTGAGGCCACATGGGCCTCACAAAGGGGGGGGGGGGGGGGGGGGGGGGGAGTCCCTCTGGGCTGCCCATCTTGGCCTAGTACGCAAAATTAGCGAAAAAAGCGACCGCAGGAAGAGGGAGTAGACAGGACGGAGAGCGTAAAAAGAGCTGGGAGGAACACATTAAGGGGCCTAATGTAGAAGAAAGTTACTGTAACAAAATAATTTGATGGCCTAGTTGGTTAAACATAGTACACAAAATTAGCGCAAGAAACGAACACAGGAAGAGGGAGTAGACAGGACAGAGCGCTAGGCCCCCTGTATGCCCTACGAGGAGGGCCCTTCTGGGCTGCCAAAGGAGACCCACTGTGGGTCCCACGAAGGAAGCCCCGGGCCGTGGGCAGCCCAACTTGGCCCAACTTGGACCTGAGTTGCAAAACCTACGTGGGAAACACATAGGCTGCCCACGTGGGACCCTTGTCGGCCTTCCTTCGGGAGCGTGGATTTTGTGCTACTTGGGGCCCTCTACGAGTACGGTGGCTGTGAAATTTGCTTAGGCGTGTGTCAGTGGTCGACACCCTTGTGCTGTATTGACTCTTCCAAAGCGCCAGCTGACAGAAGGTAAGGAGGATGACGTCAAATGTATTTTCGCCTGCCGATGACTCTACAAAATGAAGCTCCAGCCTGACAAAATTATAAGTAAAGCAGTTGCCATGAATCTAAAATTTTGCAATTAATGTGGTCGAAAGGTGCAACCACAATTACTTTCCATAAAAAGTTAATAGTAACAAATACAAATGACCCCAAAAAGTAACTATACATTACAGAAATTTAACTACCAGAACTAAATTACTACCCAAACGGGTGATGCCATGCCATCACGTAACACCGTAATGTCACGTGTCACTGTGAATTCGGTGAAAGCCATGTACAGGCACAGGGCTGTAAAGTGAACACACTCGCGCATTGTCTACACAATTTATTCTCTGGCTTGCACCGCCTTCTTGAAAGCTGGGGACACAACGTTTGTGGTGGTCTTCCTGACGGCCTTGTTAAAGACGTTGTTGCCCAGCGATATGATCTTGGAGCCCGGCACCGAGAAGCTTGACACGCCGTCCAGCTGGATCGAGACGGCGCTGAAGTGGCTGAAGGCTAGAGACGCGCTGCGCAAGTTGCCTCTGACGTAGCGTAGCCGCCCGGTGAAGGCGCCATTCCGTCCTTCGACGATCAGGTCTCCGGACAGGGGGCTGTTGCCACGCGAACGCCAGTTGTAGTGGCCCTTGACCTGCGCAGTGCGGGGCAAGGAAGGCCAAGTTGGAAGCAAGTCTTCTGGATGACGTGAAGCGATTCGTGACTCCGGAGTCCCATAGGGTTCACCACTCTCGACAAACATGGCGGTCAAAAACAGGCCGTGCAGTGCCACATGTCATTTAAGCGCCAGGTTAGGCAATAAGCATAATAATGATTGAAGTCGTGATTTAAATTGTGATCTAAATAAAACCAGTATTACTACGACGATTTAAATCGAACTCTTACAGAAAAAAAATAATTCCAAATTGTATTTTTATTTACGGTTCGTCTATCATTTGATAATTATCCAACATGTATTTGTTTCGTAGCTAAATCAAAAGAAGCAAAAGAAAAGGTTTATTTCAGGCTCAATATGAGCAAAAAGCAATGATCTTCTCAGTATATCGAATAATTGTGCTTTTTTCCTACCTTCTACTTCGTGTATCAGTTAAGCAACGTTCTATTTCAGCAAATCATAACGTGAGAAAAAAAAATAGATAAGTAATGTCTTATGCATGCAAATCAGTACGCGAATAAAAGCAAATAAAGCTTTTTAGCTAACTAAAAAATGTAGTATGGAGGAGGTTACATCAATAAAATTAGTTAATAAAAATACTTTGAGGTTTGAATAATTCTTTCTTTCCCATTGTTATCAGTGATCGGACGGATTGGGCAGCCAAATCTGACATGTTTAAACGTGCATGTAGTGATAGAGTCACTATTTTCTAGGCACAGTGATGTAAATCAAATTTATAGATTTAAATCAAATAAATGTGATTTAAGTAGCCTAAGTTGGATTTATATCAAATAAATATTGTTTATTTGAAATTCTAAATCATAATTTTTTTTTCGAATTTGTTCAAAACACTACGCTTGGGGTTATTCACACGGGTATTCACACCGGGGAAAATATCTCCGTTTACTCCCCGGGATGTGTATCACGTGGTAACAACGCCAATTGCTTTTGCGCAGTACCGCACCGACGTAGACATCCCCGAAGGGATGGGGGAAATTTTGCTCGGGCTGCACAAACGCCTTGGCGTGGGATTTTTTTTTTTTAAATTGACGGTGTTTTCATCGCGTGCCTGCCAACTTTACAGATTTTGCTCAGGGAGATACCGGAGGTGACATCGGGGTTGCCTAACTGGTTGTGGCTTGCGCTGTTGCGCACGCCGTCCGAGGCGCCCGAAACAGTCTTCGATGATCACCAATGCTGTCATCAAGCCGCTCTTCGTACAACTGGGTTTTGATTCCACGTCCTTTGAGTTGCATCCAGCCATTCAAGAAGAAGCGTATTTCGTATAGCAGGAAGCTATTCGTCGTCTTCTGCATATAACAGCGCTGCTGTCATAATCACAGATCGACATTTTAGGTACGCCTCCATTTTCCTACACTCGTCAGCCAGCACCGAGCACTGTTGTCGAGAGTGGGACCGCTTAATGCGCCTGATAACACGACATCGCTCTCGGCTAGGTGGTGAAAGCTACGGCCCATTACAAAGGGTATAGCCATTAATATCAGAGTCGTGTATAAAGAGAGTTTGGTCAATGGGAGGCGCGGGCAGAGGCAGGGCGTGCACCAGACTCGGAACGAGGGCTTGGCATGCTCTCTTAAAGGGGCCCTGCAATCATATTTAAGCGCCTACCTTCTTTGCGGTTTCCACGTCTCCTGGGGTTCGGGCAAGCCAGCGGGCACGGAGAGAGTAACTAAATATCAGTGAGTCAGATTTTAACCAGACAACGCGGAAACCTCCTCCACCTACGAGGGCGACCAGCGTTGCCGAAAGCTCGCAATATGTGACGTCTTTGGTCCTGAGCTTGCCACTGATCAGAGCCGCTAAAAGCTTTTTTTTTTTTTTTTTTTTTTTTTTTTTTAGCTGAGATACAAAATATAAGCGTCGCGAACCGTTTAAATTATATATGAAAGTAGTTTTTGTTCAGTATTTTAGATCAGAAAAGAAACAAATGCAGTTTATAAAGTACGGAAACAAGAAATGACCCGTCGACATACCTGCCACCAAGCGGCGCAAAAAACGGCGCATACTAGAAAGGGCTAGTGGGACTAGGCGTCGACGAACGGCGAGTGTAGAAAGGTCCCGGATGTACGCGGCGGCGCTGCGGTCGTATACGCCGTTTTAGTTTAGCCTCGTACTCAGCCACGTTGTCCCCACATCCGGTATGCGTTCCAAAAAAAAGCAGACGATTTCAACCCGAAAAAAAAAGAAAAGTATGGAAAGGACATAACAAGAAGGAATGACGGTTGCAATTAAAATGTTAACATGTTCTACTGGTGAGGCGAAAGGAAATCGATGTTTTCGCGCATACCGGAAGTTCCTGAATTGAAGATGGCGGCGCCCACGTAGAAAAGATGTATACCGGCTCGAGGATCCGACCGGTTCCGAGCGTTCCGAAGGCTTTCGGCGCGAGCTTGGCTGGCGATTTTGCCATTTGTCGGTATGGCAGAGCGAAGTGTCTCCCGTTCTGAACTGATCTTTACCCCGTGTTTGCTTTTGTTTGTGACCAATGAAGTGTTATGCCGAATTAGTCTTTAATCGCGCAGCCAATGCATTGCGAGCCGCCCTGGCCGACCGCTTCATACAGCCTATCCAACACGTGCTTTAGTGGCGCCCTCCTGAGCCGTTAACACGGAGTGCGGCAGCCGTGAGCGCTCGATAAGCTCACTACCCCCCCTCTAGTTCACGACCGCTCAAGTGAGGACCTACGACGTCATGAAGGAGGTTAGTTTTTGCTTGTTTTTGTAATTCTAATTTGCCTATAACTTTTAAAATAAAGCGAAATTTTAGAAAAGAAATGTTTCATGAAGTTACTACGTTCAGTGCGCTCAGGATCGGTGCAAACTAGAAAACAGCCAAAAGTTGTTGCAGGGCCCCTTTAACTAACCAGAAGCCGAAAAGAATCTCCTAGCGATGGTAGCGTGAAACAGTTCTGATCAAAGGTTCGTATATGGTATATGGTTCGTATAGGGTTTCAATAAGAGCGTAAGAGTGAAGTTTAGTAACTCTTTGTGGTTGAAAAAAGGGTGTACGTGATGTTTCGATCATGATCATGCAGAAAGATGTAAGAAACGAATGCTCCGCTGAACTCTGTTTTGCTCGGGCAGAGTGTGACCGCCCGGACGGCGGATTCCCGGCCCTCAGCGCTTGGCGTAAGGATTATGTCGATCGCTCAGCTAGTCGCACTCGTCCACCATCATTTTGGATGAGCGTGATTGAAACATCATGTGTACCATATTTTCAGTCACCGAGAGTTACTCCGATGCACTTATCAGGTTTGTTTCTCGCGACCACCGCCAGGGCAATATTTCCGGCTTCTGGTTGGTCACATTCAAATTTGTGAAGACGCCCTGGAACACGCCCAGCCCACTTTCGGCCAATGGCACCTCCTGATTTGTCTCCTATACTTCCCAACGAATGGGCAAACTCTCTACATATACGGCTCTGATTAACATCCATCTATCCATCCATCCTCGCCGTTCGTCTGATTACTTCAGTTTGGGAGGGAACACCGCTGGGGTTTCGCCGATCATTGACGTCACGCACATCCCTCCCCCAAAAGCATCCCCCGTGTGAATACGCCTTAAAGGAACACTGACAGGGTATTTATGCTCGCCGAGATTTTTATTGGAACATTACCTACAAGAGCCCAAATACCCAGAACACAATTTGCGGCTCAAAATTCATTTGCTTTCCTCCGGAAAACGGCCGATCGAGAATTGACCTGTTTCAGTCGCGCTCACTCTCTTTTCCATGATCACATGCAGTTCAAACTATGGGTACCAAATATATTCAAAGTCGTGGCTTATGCAAGGCACACATTCGATATTAAATATAGAAAATAACATAAAAGTCCCTTTTGTGGCCTCCAAGAAGCTGTAAATACGTTGATCCAAAAAGAAAAAAAAAATGTTGCATATTTCACAGGGAGTACACATCGCGACACTGTTAGCGTGAACACGACATCTGCGCCTTTTCGCATTTTATTAGGAAAGAGCATTAGTGGGCTCACAATTTTACCCCTTATATTATAGCCCTATATGAGCTCTTCCTATAACAATGCTATCTTCGAAGACAACCTTTCGGTTCTAAGAGAAAAAACACAAAAAACTGGTGATCGCTTGTTCGCGCTAACAATGTCGCGCGCTCTATACACGTACACGTCATTCTCAACATCACGGCGTACCGTGGGCTGTGCGACTCGACAGGGGCGGTCGACGGACCAACGTTGGGACGGACGTGGGGCCGCTAGTAAGGAACTGTCGTTCGGTGTACCGGCCAATCGATTTTCAAGCGCGGAACATCGAGCGGAAGGAATATAAGTACAGTGTAGTAGAAGGGCGGGGTTATCTACCCCGCCTGCTTGATTACCAGCGTGTGTTAAATCCTCCTACAAAAAATCAAAAGTAAAGGCAGAAGAGGGGACGGTCAGCGGGGAAAAGTTAAAAAAATCATGAGTTCAAGTGATACCTTACTTACCCAAGGTGCCGCATAACCTTAAGATAATAGCAATTAAGTACGATGTCAATGTTGTTTTCGCCGCTCGGTGCAAGCTGATAAAATTGTGTCCTGTGGTGACTAGGCAGAAACGTCTTCAATGCTCGAAAAAGCACGTCACTCAGTACGCTTGTGCCTCTAATGTTGTTTACGAGATTCGACTAACGTGCGGGGGTGTTTATATTGGAGAGACTGGACGGTTTTTTAATGAAAGGGCGCGTGACCATCGTCTAGCGGTACGTAATGAATCGGGGGGACACCTTTCAGTACACTGCATGCGGTGCTGGTGTGATCCCCTGTTAGAATTGTCAAAATACATTAAAAGAGCAAACAACAAGACTGATATCACAAGGAAGTTTCTTTTCTAGATGGTTTTGTGTAAGACACGTTGAACTAATACGAATGTTTAAATCATTGTCATCTGTTGTTAGTGTTTATGGGTTGCTTTTACCGTAGGGGGTTGACAAGATAAAAAAAAAGTGTTC